ATCGGGAAAACTGAAAGCGTCGCGACGTCTATACCTGAGCCGCGTGCTCCCTTAAGGCGTACGCAAGCGCAAATTCTATTGTGGAGGAAACAACTTCATTTCGTGAGACTACAATATGCTTTTGTGACGGGAATAATGACTGGAGCACGGGCTACCAACAGCTGGTAGAAGGGCATTTTTACATAACAAAAGGGATGATAAGAAGAGGTGTTTTTAAGGTAAATGTTGGTGTTGGGTTGGGAAGGGTTGACAGGAGAGTGAGCTTTGTTTTTTAGGAATTATATTTTTTACTTATTTTGTTATATATTCTTTTGAGATTTTTGTTTTCGAGTTTTTTATTTTCCAGTTTTTTTTCCGACTTCATAATTATTTGTTTTTTCAGTTTCAATTTTTTTCGATTCTTCAGTTTTTCAGTTTTTCATTTTTTTGTTTCTTCAATTTTACGATTGAAATTTTTCGTTTTGGTTGTTATTTCCTTCGTTTTTTTCAATATTTCGGTTTTTCAATTATTCGATTTTATGATTCTTCTTTTTCTCGGTGTGAAATGTTTCAGTTTTTGGATTTTTTAATTTTTCGGTTTTTCAATTTAAAATTTTTCAGTTCCCCGAATTTTCAAATTTTTGTTTCAATTTGACAATTTTAGAATTTTTCCATTTTTCAATTACTGGAGTGAGATTTTTCGTTTCTTCAATTTTGCAAGTTGTTGATTTCCAATTTTTAGTTTTCAAAGTTTGATTTTGTACACTTTCGCTCTTTCATTTTTAATTTTTCAATTTTGCATGTTTGCGGTTTTTTCATTTTTTAATATTCATTTTCACAGTTTTTCGTTTTTTCCCTTCCTTTTTTTTTCAACGTTTCTTTCGATTTTATAATATTTCATTTTTTAGATTTTACACTTTTTCTCGATTTTAAAGTTTCTTAATTTTCATTAATACTTTGATTTTTTCAGTTTTTCAAATTTTCAATTTATACTTTTTCGTTTTTCTCATTTTTGATTTTTCAATTTTACAATTTTGTACTTTTGCCACTTTGTTTGACACGAAAAGTTGAAAAATCAAAAAACAGACAAATTAAACCAATGGAATCTCGATAAATTATGAAACTGAAATTTTTGAAAGAAGGAAAAAATGAAAAACCGAAATAAGACAATTTGACAAATCGAAAGACTGAGTAATAGAAACGACAAAAAATGGAAAAATTAAAAAATCCAGAAATTGAAAATCTTCCACAGGGATTAAAATATTGAAAAATTGAAAATTCGAAAACTTAAAAAATCAAGAAATCGAAAATTCGAAAAGACGAAAAAATTTAAAAATCGAAAAACAGAAATGTCAGGAATCGAAAAATCGAACAATTGAATGAAACAATTTTTAAATTGTAAAATCGAAATAACAAAAAATCGTAAAATGGAAAAATTATAAAAACAAAAAAAAATCAAGATTCCAAAAATTGGAAAATACCAAAAATGTCAAAAATTGGCGAATCCAAATATTGAAAAGTTGAAAAATAGAGAACTCGAATTAGCCCAAATTCTATAAATCCAAATATCGAAAAATTGAAAAATCAAGGAATTGAAGAATTGATACATTGAGAAAATAAAAAACAAAAAAAATGAAAAATCTAGAACTCGAAAAATTGAAAAGTTGGAAAATCAAAAAACTCGAAAATCGTCGACAGTCAAAATTCATTTTATTGATTTTTCAATGTTGCAATTTACAATTTTAACGATTTTATGAATTTTCGATTTGACAATTTTTGGGTTTTCAAATCTTTCGATTCAATTACTTTTTTCTGCTCTCCAATTTTTCGTGTTTTTTTATTATTTTAAAGTTTCTGCTTTTTTGGTTTTCCAATATTTCAATTTTTCGTTCATTCCTCTTCGATCTGAAATTTTTCGATTTTCCAGTCTGTCAATTTTGCAATTTCTCTTCTTTTCAATTTTTCCTTTTTTTCGAATTTTCCGCGTTTTAGCTATTCGACTTTTCAATTTTTCGAATCAAAAAAAAAATCGAAAAGTCGAAAAATCGAGAAATCTAAACATCAAAAAAATCGAAAAATTCCCAAAATTGAAATGTTGAAGAAATGAGAAATGGAAAACTTGGAAAATCCAGAAATCTAAAAACTGAAAATTCAAAGATATCAAGGAATCGAATAAAAAAATCGTAAAATATCGAAAAAAAATCAATAAACTGAAAAATAAAAAAAAACAAAAAGTTGAAAAATCGGAAAGTTGAAGAATTGAAAAGCGGAAAATTCGCGAAAATTAAAAAAATCCAATACTGAAATAACGAAAAATCGCAACTTTAAAAGATCGAGAATTCGAACAATCAGAATATTGAAAAATCGGTAAATTTAGAAATCAAAAAAATTTTAACAATAGAAAAATAAAAAAATTGAAAAACTGAAAAATCAAGAATTTTAAAATTCTAAAATTTGAAAAATAGAAATATTGAAGAACTTCGATTTGAAATTTTTCGATTTTGCAATTTCTCGTCTTTTCAATTTTTCATTTTTTTCAATTTGTCTGATCTTTTAGTTTTTCGTTTTTTAATTTGTCGATTTTTCAACTTTTCGATTCAAAAAAATAGAAAAACTGTAAATTTGAAAAATCAGAAATGAAAAAACGAAAAAACGGAATACATATTATAAAATCGAAATATTGAAAATTAAAGAAATCCAAAAATTGCAAAATTGAAAAATTTTCAAAATGGGAAACTTGAAAAATTTAGAAATCAAAAATCGAACAGTAGTAATCAAAAATTTAAAAATTCGAAAATTTGAAAAATAGAAATATCGAAGAACTGCAAAAACGAAAAATCAAGAAATCAAAAAAATTAGAATTTAGAAAAGATAATATAATTAAAACATCAAAAAAATTGAAAAATTAAAAATCGAAAGGCCATAAAGTCGAAGAACCGAGAAATCGAAAAATCCAAAATTTAAAAAATTTTAAAACTGAAAAATCGCGAGAGTTAAAAAAATTCCTAAACTGAAATGACGAAAATTTGGGAAATCGAAAAATTGAAAATTTCCCAAAACTAAAATGTTGAAGAATTGAGAAATTGAAGGCTTGAAAAATCCAGAAATCTAAAAATTCAAAAAAATTTAAAAATCGAAAAACTGAAATGTCAAGAAATCGAATAAAATAATCGTAAAAAACGAGAAATTGAAAAATTGAAACATCGAAAAATCGGTGAATTAAGAAACTGAAAAATCAAAAAAAAACTTAAAAATAGAAAAATTGGAAAACCCAAAAATCTAAATCCGAAAAGTTGAAATACCGAATGATCAAGAAATCGAGAAATAATAAAAAAATCGAAAAATTAAAAATTTCCTCAAAACTAAGGTATTGAAAAATTCAGAAATGAAAAACTTGAAAAATTTAGAAATCAAAAATCGAACAGTCGCAATCAAAAATTTAAAAATTCGAAAATTTGAAAAATAGAAATATCGAAGAACTGCAAAAACGAAAAATCGAGAAATCAAAAAAATTAAAATTTAGAAAAGATTATATAATTAAAGCATCAAAAAATTGAAAAATTAAAAATCGGAAGGCCAAAAAGTCGAAGAACCGAGAAATCGAAAAATCCAAAATTTAAAAAATCTTAAAACTGAAAAAATTCCTAAACTGAAATGACGAAAATTTGGGAAATCGAAAAATTGAAAAAGCAAACCATCGAAAAACCGAGAAATTGAAAAATTGAATCATCGAAGAATCGGTAAATTGAGAAACTGAGAAGTCAAAAAATTTAAAAATAGAAAAATTGAAAAACCGAAAAAACGAAATTCGAAAAAAAAAAACGTCAAGAAATCGAAAAACTGAAAATTTCCCAAAACTAAAATGTTGAAGAATTGAGAAATGGAAGGCTTGAAAAATCCAGAAATCTAAAAATTCAAAAAAAATTTAAAAATCGAAAAACTGAAACGTCAAGAAATCGAATAAAAAAATCGTAAAAAGCGAGAAATTGAAAAATTGAAACATCGAAAAATCGGTAAATTAAGAAACTGAAAAATCAAAAAAAGAACTTGAAAATAGAAAAATTGAAAAACTGAACAATCGAAAAATCAAGAATTTTGAATTTCGAAAAATTGAAAACCCCAAAAATCAAAATCCGAAAAGTTGAAAAATCGAAAGATCAAGAAATCGAGAAGTCAAAATTTCCCCAAAAGTAAGTTGTTGAAAAATTGAGAAATGAAAAACTTGAAGAATCTAGAAATCTAAAAATCGGAAAGTCGAAAAATCCAAAGATCGAGAAATCGAAACATCAAAAAAAAAGGCCAAAGGCCGAAAAGTTGAAAAACGGAGAAACCAAAAAAACCAAAATTTAAAAAACCGAAAGGTTATAAAATCAGAAAGTTGAAGAATTGAAAAACTGAAAAATCAATAAACTGAAAAATAAAAAAAACAAAAATTTGAAAAATAGAAATATCGAAGAACTGAAAAAACGAAAAATTGAGAAATCAAAAAAATTAGAATTTAGAAAAGATCAGATACTTAAAATATCGAGAAATCCAAAATTTAAAAAACCAAAAAGTTGAAAAATCTTAAAGTTGGAGGATTATAAAACTGAAAAATCGCGAAAATTAAAAAAATCCCAAACTGAAATTACTAAAATTTAATAATTAATATAATAATGATTATAATTTTTGAACATTTTCACGTTTTCAATTTGACGATTTTATCATTTTTCACTTGATTTTGCAAGATCTCGTATTTTTAATTTTAAATAAGTATTAAAAATTAAAGAAATCAAAAAATTGTAAAATTAAAAAATTTAAAAATTAAAAATCGAAGATTGAAAATGTGTAAAACTGAACTTAACTTAAATTAGAAAAAAACTACCAAATGTTTCTAAAATTAACAAATTATGACGAATTATTGATTATTATTATTGTTTCTCAGAAAAGTTCGTTTCGTGTTATGCAACCAATAATACACCACTGTAATTTTTAAGATATCGACTGACAGTCCCAGTTAAATGAAGAAACAAATACAAAAATTAATGTTTCCATTAATTATTATTTATTTCAATAGGTTGGTAGCCACAATTACGACATTATAAATTTGGTATGAGAACCTTTGACGAGTATGTCTCCTGTCTTTTTATTTTTTATTTGAACCTCCAAGAATGCTAAACTTTTGCCACTTTTCACCACGTCGGCTTCGATTAAGATGTCATCTCCTATACTTGCCCCTTTCAAATAACTACAACAAAATCAATACAAAAATCGGCTATTTTTTAGACACTAAGTACCTCATGTGTATATCCACAGACACATGTCTTGCAGGTATTTTAGTCATCAATGCATATGTTGACACACAGTCTACCAAAGTGGCTGAGAGGCCCCCATGTAATCCCCCCATAGGATTAGTATGTTCTTCATCCACTTTTAATTCAGCTGTACATTTTCCGGCGCCTAAGGATAAAATATTTACCTGCAACGTTATTATTTCATACACATGATAACAGAGATAAAGATAAGTCAGCAAATCTACCCAGTTAACACAAACAGTTACAAAGAACTCAAAGTTTTTTGATTTTTCCCAAGGGACGAAATTGCACTTACATTTTTTAAAACTTTGTCAAACGATTTTGTGTTTTGTACAAATTTTAAAAAAGCAGCGGCGTCCTTCACATGCCACATTGTAACACAATTTTTTTGAATGTATCGACTTAGATAAAAATTTGAGACAAATACTGGTTGAAGAGTTTGTTATGACTGAAGTGATAATAGGATAAGTTCAGATAAACTTTACAGTGAATCAGCATATTTTCTCCAAGGACGTATTTTAAATTAATTAAATAAAACGGAGCGTCGGAGGTCATAAATTGTGCTAAAACTTGATGATTATTATATTTTGGAAGTTTCAAAATGTTAAGGACCAATTAAAAAATGACGTGCATTGACGTTTTAGTATTGTTGGTTGCCTATGCAAAAATCAAACAACTTTCTAATATTGTAATAAAATTAGTTAGAATAAAGTACTAAAAACGATATCTGGTGCTAAATGAAACTACTCAGCTTCTTTTCATTTTATTGAGAAAAATAATCCCTGTAAACTTACATAATCTGTATTTAATGAAAAAAAAAAAAAAGTATAAAATTATTTGCCACCGCTACTGGATGACTCCGAATCGGACGAACTGTCACTATCTGAACTGCTACTGTCGCTACTGCTGCTAGAACTGGAGCTACTGTCAGACTGATCCTTCAACTTCTTCGACGTACTTTCAGCACTACTTTTGGCCGCTGCTGCCTTTTCTTCACATAACTTCATCCGTTTTTTTAACTGTTGTGTTCGAGACGACCTGTGTAAATATTTTCTTTGACCTTTACATTCATACGACCAGTGTCCGTAGTCTAGGCACTTTTGGCACCGGACTCCTTGAGGGGGCGCAACGGGCTTCCGCCTAAAATGAACAAATTAAAAACCGCAACAACAACGTAAAAACTCACTTAATTCCAAATTTATTGTCGTTATTAATCATTTTATTACGAATTGAACAGGTTATGTTTGCAAATAATAAAAAAGAAAACAGGTACAGTTACTTTCTATTTTTCAGATTGGTAGTGAGTGAGTGTGAATTTTTTAACTAATCACGACGCGCAATTCAGTCACGGGATGTAAACACTTCGTTGCTATTGGTGGATGTCTCGAGGTGGAAAGGTCGTAATCTAAATTTAGGTTTCTAGAAAAAAATGGAGAACAATAATAAAGAAAAAAAACGTGAAATTATAGCATCAAATTTATACTTCTTGCGAATACTAGATGAAGTTATCTCCGCGCAAAACCAGTCTTATTTGTCTGACACCGTTTTGCCAACGTTACAAAAAATAAACATTTGTCGTTTCATTTCAATTCGTGGGGTGGGGGTTAATTTGTGTCCCTAACCTCAATTTTCAGAAACTAAACAACAGATCATTTCACACAAAAGAAGTGGACTCTGTACACACAACTCATTTAAATGTGATCATTTCACCGCAGAAATTCTTTCAGAATGACTGAGAATTTAATTTCCGAGCTGGAATCGGCCGCTGCGATCATCATGGTAAGTCCCTAATAAAATTTTTTCCTAGTAAGAACTCCATTCCAGGCCCCCCCGAATCTCGTGACGAACGAGCAACGACACAACGCCGAATATGTCTTTCTAAATTTCCGAAAGTGCAAATCCCCGTTTGCTATATGTCGGCAAATTTTGGATAACTGCCAAGTCCATTATGTTCTCTTCGAAGCTGCCGAAACCCTCAAAAGTGCCCTTATCCGCGAATGGTCGTTCTTGTTAGATTCCGACAAGTTCTCGCTACGTCAGTACTTGATGCACTACGTTACCACGAAGCAAATACCCCCGTTCGTTCGGGACAGGATTTTACAAGTCATTGCGATCATGGTGAAGAGAGCCAGCGTGGACGATGGCGGTAGAGACAGGAGTAACATTTTGCAAGAAGTGGAGAATATTATCCTGAACGCGGAGGCTGAAAAGGTTGGTTTTTGGGGGTGATTTCTGGGGATGATTTTTGTGGTTGTAGAAAATTCTCGGGTTTAATATTATTTCGAATTTGATGCAAGAGTACGCGAGTACGGTTAAGTCCACGGATGTGGGGCTACCGTGGGAGGTGCATTTTAAAGCCAAGAAGCAGTTCGAGTCGACGGATTTGAAGAGGATTTTTCAGTTTTGTGTACAGTTATTGTCGGAAGTTGTGAAGAATGACCCGCCTTATCCTGAGAATGTGTTGGAATTGACGAGGTATATTTTGAAGGTTACGGAGAACGTGCTGACGTGGGGGTACATTTCGCCGTTATATATCCTTTTTTTGGCAATATTTGTTTTATTATTGTGGTTTCTAAGTTAAACTGTAAAATGTTGTAATCATCATTTTATTTGGCTACTCATCCCCACCACCAATTGGATGACGTCATCTCGAAAATTCACAACAGTAAATTTGTTTTTAACTTTATAAAATAAGATACTCCTGCACTTGTGGTCTATGAATCCGCGTTGAGTTTTCACATCCAGATTTTTGGAAAAAAATCAAAATTGTGTAACATTTTACAATTTAACTTTGAAATTGCGAAACCGTATGCTCTGAAATCGTTAATCAAAATTCATTTGTTTACAAAATTTTTCAATTTCTCGAATTCCAAATTTTTCAATTTTTCAGTTTGTTTTTAATTTTCCGTTTCCTCAATTTTTCAAGTTATTGATTTTTATATTTCATTTTTTCATTCCTTTATTTTTTCATTTTTGATTTTATAATTTTTTGATTTTTGAATTCCGCAATTTAAAATTTAAAAAATTGAAAAACCAAAAAAAAAGAAAAATCAAAAATTTAAAAATTTGAAGTAGAAATATCGAAGAACTAAAACATCGAAAAAATGTAAAATGTAATAAGTTAAAAAGACGAGTCAAAAATCGGGAAATAGAAAATCCAAAAATTGAAAAATTTCAAAAATGAAATGACCTAAAATTTGGAAATAGAAATGTTAAAAACAAAAAATTTAAAAACCGAAAAATCTTAAAACCAAGTCGAAAAATGGAAAGATTGCGGAATCAAAACATCAAAAATCTGAAAAACCTGGAATTTTAAAGAATCGAAGAATTGAAAAATGAAAAAATCGAGAAATCAAAAAATTGAAAAATCCCAAAACTAACGAAAAATTGAGAAATCGAAAAGTCGAAAAATGGAATAACTAAAAAATTAAAAACATGAAAATCGAAAAATGTTTCGTCAATTTTACGATTTGCAATTTTTCATTTTTCGATCTTTCAGTTTCAGGTTTTAATTTTTCGTTTCCCCGATTTTTCAAATTCATGATTTTTATTTTTCATTTTCCGTTATTTTAATTTTCATTCTCGATTTTCATACCACAATTTTCCATTTTTTTGTTTCCTTTATTTTTGCAAGCTTTCTTTTGATTATATAATTTTTTGATTTCCCGATTTCGAAAAATTTAAAATTTAAAAAACTGAAAAATCAAAAATTTATAAACTCGAAAAATTGGAAAGTAGAAATATCGAAGAAGTGAAACGTTGAAAAAACCGAAGAAACAAAACACTGAAAAATCGGGAAATTGAAAAATTTCAAAATGGAATGACCTAAAATTTGGAAATATGTAGAAAAGTTAAAAATTGAAAAATTTAAAATAAAAAATCAATAAATCGAAATAGTCAAAATTCAAAAAATCGAGAAAATGAAAATTTTTCGATTTGTAATTTTTCAATTTTGTAATTTCTTCGATATTACAATTTTTCATTTTTCGATTTTTCAGTTTCTCATTTTTTTTATTTTTAATTTCCCGATTTTTTTCATTTTCACAATTTTTCGTTTTTCATTCCTTTATTTTTTCCTTATTTCTTTCGATTTTATAATTTTCAGTTTATTCAAATTTTCAATCTTTATTTTTTCACTTCTTGATACTCTAATTTTTTAATGTTGTAATTTTTCGATTTTTCATTTTCACAGTTTTTAATTTTTCGTTTCCTCAATTTTTCAAGTTGATTTTTTTCCCTTTTTTCGTTATTTTAATTTTCATTTCTCGATTTTGTACCACAGTTTTTCGGTTTTTCATTCGCCTTATTTTTTTTAAGTTCCCTTTCGATTTTATAATTTTTTTGATTTTTCAGTTTTGCAAATCTCTTGAAATTGAGAAATAGATAAATTGAAAAATCGGAAAACTAAAGAAACAAAAAATTTAAAAACTGAAAAATTGAAAAATCAAAATTTCGAAAAATTAAAAAATCGAAAATTCGAAACAAAAAAACGAAAAGTCGCAAAACCTAAAAGCGAGAAGTCGAAAAATCGAAAGCTTGAGAAACCAAAACATCAAAAAACTGAAAAACCTAGAATTTAAAAAAATCGACAAATTGAAAAATCGAAAAATTAAAATTTGGAAAAATTAAAAAATCGAGAATTCGAAACAAAAAATAGAAAAATTGAAGGAACGAAAAATGCTTATTCAATTTTTCGATTTTTCAGTTTCAGAGTTTTTAATTTTTCAGGTACTTGATTTTTATTTTTCATTTTCCCGTTGTTATTTTTCATTTCCCGATTTTTATACAATCACGATTTTATGTTTTTTCATTTCCTTTATTTTTTTCCAAGTTTTCTTGGGATTTTATAATTTTTTGATTTTTCAATTTTGCAGTTTTTAGATTTCCAATTTTCCGATTTCTTGACTTGGAGAAATAAAAAAATTAACAGAATCGAAATATTGAAAAATCCAAAAACTGTAACAACGAAAAATTGGGAAATCGAAAGATTGAAAAATCGGAAAATTGAAGTAACGAAAAATGCTTCAATTTTTCATTTTTCAATTCTTCAGTTTCACAGTTTTTAATTTTTCGATTCCTCAATTTTTCAAGTTCTTGATTTTTATTTTTCATTTTCCCGTTATATTAATTTTCATTTCTCAATTTTTATACAGTCACAATTTTTCGTTTTTTTATTTTGATTTTTCAATTTTGCAGTTTTTAGATTTCCAATTTTCCGATTTCTTGACTTCGAAAAATTTTAAATTTAAAATATGATAGTAACGAATCGCCCGATGAACTCGATTAGAAAAATTGAAAAATCAAAAAGCAACTGAAAAATCAAATTTAAAAATTCGAAAATAGAAAAATTGAAATGTCGAAGTGATGAAAAATTTAAAGTTTAAAAAATCAAAATTTCGAAAATTTGGGGAATCGAAACATCAAAAAATCGAAAAATTGTAAAAGTTAAAACTCGAAACATTGAAATCTGGAGCTATTGAGAAATAGATAAATCGAAAAAGTAAAGAATCAAAAAATTTAAAACCCAGAAGTCGAAAAATCGAAATAATGAGAAATCAAAACTTCAAAAAACTAAAAGACCTGAAATTAAAAAAAAATCGACAAATTGAAAAATCGAAGAACTGAAAAATTGAAAAATTTAAAATTTTAAAAACTGAAAAATTAAAGAATCAATAAATCGAAATATTCAAAAATCAAAAAATCGTGAAATTCAACAATCGAAAGATCGAAATCTCTAGAAATTGAAAAATAGATAAATCGAAAAACTAAAGAATAAAAAAATTTAAAAGCCGAAAAATTGAAAAATAAAAAAATGGAGAAATAAAAAATTTGACAGAATCGAAATATTAAAAAATCCAAAAACTGTAACAACGAAAAATTGGGAAATCGGAAGATTGAAAAATCGAAAACCCGAAAATCGGAAAATTGAAGTAACGAAAAATGCTTCAATTTTTCATTTTTCAATTCTTCAGTTTCACAGTTTTTAATTTTTCGGTTCCTCAATTTTTCAAGTTCTTGATTTTTATTTTTCATTTTCCCGTTATTTTAATTTTCATTTCTCAATTTCTATACAATCGAAACATTGAAATCTCGAGAAATTGAGAAATAGATAAATTGAAAAATCGAAAAATCAAAAATTTTTTAAATCTAGAAATTTAAAACCGAGAAGTCGAAAAATCGAAAAACTTAAAGACCTGAAATTTTAAAAAATCGACAAATTGAAAAATCGAAAAGTTTTCAAAACTGAATTGAATTTAAAAAATCAATAAATCGAAATATCCAAAAATCAAAAAATCGTGAAATTGAACAATCGAAGAATCGAAAGATTGAGAAATGAAAAAACTGAAAAACCGAAAATTTTAAAAATTGAAAAATTAAAAAATCGAGAAATTGAAACATAAATCGAAAAATTAAAAATGGAGGAAAAAATGAAGAGTCCCAAAATAGCGAGAAATTGTGAAATTGAAGAAACGAAACTTCAGTTTTTCGGTTTTTCAAGTTCTTGATTTTTATTTTTCGATTTTTTCATTTTCACAATTTTTCGTTTTTCATTCCTTTATTTTTTCATTATTTCTTTCGATTTTATAATTTTCAGTTAATTCAATTTTTCAAATTTTCAATCTATTTTTTCACTTCTTGATACTCTAATTTTTTAATGTTGCAATTTTTCGATATTACAATTTTTCATTTTTCGATTTTTCATTTTTAGTTTTTAATTTTTCGTTTCCTCAATTTTTCAAGTTGATTTTTTTCCTTTTTCCAATATTTTAATTTTCATTTCTCGATTTTGTACCACAGTTTTTCGGTTTTTCATTCGCCTTATTTTTTTTTAAGTTCTCTTTCGATTTTATAATTTTTTTGATTTTTCAGTTTTGCAGTTTTTGGGTTTCTAATTATACGAATTTCCGATTTCCAAAAATTGAAATATGGAAGAACTAAAAAATCGAAAAAAATTTAAATTTCAATATATTGAAAAATTAAAATATCTAAAAATTGAAGCATCCAAACTTCAAAAAAATCAAGAAATTGTGAAAGTTAAAAAAATTAATAATTGATAAACCGAAAAATCGAGAAATAGAAAATCCAAAATTTCAAAAATCGCAAAAATTGAAAAATTGCGAAATTGAAAAGTTCCAAAAATGAAATGACGTAAAATTGGGAGATAGAGGCCAAAGTTGAAAAGTTCGAAATCGAAATTCTTGATTTTTATATTACAATTTTTCATTTCCTTTATTTTTCTCAAGTTTTCTCTCGATTTTATAATTTTTTGATTTTTCAATTCTGCAATTTTTAGACTTTCAATTATCCGATTTTTCGATTCCGAAAAATCTTAATTTTTAAAAAATTGACAAAACAAAATTCGAAAAATTGAAACATAGAAATATTGAAAAACTGAAAAAACAAAAAAATACAATTTAATAAACTGAAAAATTAAAATATCGAAATATTGAAAAACCGAAGAGTCGAAAAATCGAGAAATAGAAAATCCAAAATTGAAAAATCGGAAAAGTAAAATGACGTAAGATTTAGA